CTAACGGATTATGATTTTCCGCCAATTCGAGATTTTAGTGGCTAAATTTTCATCGATTTAGTCAACTCTTTATTGTAGTCCATATATGATTATATAATTAATCCATGATAATTCTACGATTTCTTTTGTGTGATGTAAATTTAATGGTCAACATAAGTTCATACGGGGAAAGAGTATCTCAATATTTACAAATTGATGAAAAAAATAAAAGTTAATAATGTAGTACCCTCATTTCTTATTGGATTCCTAAAAAACAACATTTATAATGAATTTTAATCATTTTTTCGGATTTTTTTGAAGCTTTAATCTGACCGATTCAGCCTATTCCCGATCCGAATCGTCGATTCACCAATCCGGATCGGTTTTTAAAGTGCCCGATCCAGGTCACCAATCCGCTTTTTAAACCATTGGTATAGACCAAGCAAAGTCAGGTGAAAACAATTGCCCACCCCAAGTTAAAAGTCAAATTACTTTAAGTCTCTGAGAGAGATCCTTGAAACCTTGCACAAGTTGAGGCCACAGCCTTTCACGATCAGAACTCTCCATCCCCTCTAGCTTGGCCATCGCCTCTGCCCACATGATCTGGCAGAGCAAACTATAAATAGAAATAAATAAAACTTTTCTAAAAATTTAAATAAATAAATAAGTGAACAAAATGGCAATATAAAGTATAAACAACTGTAACAATGAAAACTCACATCTGATATCCCGACAGGCTTCACTCTCATAGATGGATCAGTCACACTGAATAACAAATGCTGCATAACAGAAACCAAAGACATTAATAATAATAATAACAACAACAACAACAACAACACCACCAACAACAACACCACCAACAACAACACCACCAACAACAACACCAACAATAATGACAATAATAATCCAACCCATAGGACAGAAAAATCAAGAACACCACCAAACAAGACCCAATAGAAAATAAAAACCCCCAAACAAATCCAGAGCCAATTTCTCCCACACGAAAGTGAATGGAGAAAATCCAACTTCTGAGTTGATAGAAAAAAAGACATGACACTGAATCCAAATCATAATAGGAACAATTGAAGAACACCACAGAATCCACCCAAAAAAAAAAAAACTAAAACTCAAACAAATCCAGAGCCAATTTCTCCCGCGCAAAAAATGACTGGAGAAAATCCAACTTCTGAAGAAATGAAAACACCCTACAACAAAACCCAACTTATGAATTGAAAGTTTAAAACACGATTCTCTTTAACACAACATGAAGAACAGAGAAGGGACTTTAACAACTCACCTTGAAAGCATATTTAGGGTTTCCAGGCTCATCTTTGTAAGCATCCACAATTCCCTAGAGAGAAAAACCAAAACATTATATACTCCAAATCAACGCAAAACATCATTCTTCACAAACAAAAACCATTCACAAACAAGCATAATAAATCCAAGCAATAGCAATCCAAATGACACAAAACAAATAAGTGTGAGAAAAAGAAGGACAGAAACCGAAGCACCCAAAAGAAATCTAGAGACCTGGATATCTCTATCAGCCATGGAAAATGGAAGGGGAGAAATGGGCGCCATTTGTGTAGTCAGCTGAGGCTGAGAAAATGGGGATGGTTGCTGAGACATTTGAAATGGAGAAGCATTAGTAGCTGCAGTTGCAGGTGTAGAGAACAATGAAGACCCAAAAGCAGGGGCATTTGGCGTCGTGAAAGAAGGGGTCGAAGGTATTGCTCCTCCAAAGCCAAAGGCCGGAGCAGAAGCGCCGGTTTGCCCAAACATCTCTGCAAACTTTCCCGTCGTCAATGGTGGATGGACCTGAAAGGCAGTTTTCAGAAGGTCGCCATGGGCTTAATCAAGGACATGAAGATAGAGAGAGAGAGACTCTGCCGAGGAGAGCTAGGGCAAGCGGGAAAACAGTTCCAACTTCTTCCTTCTAATATTTGTCCCGTAATAAGTTTTCCTTTCTTCAGTTCGCCGTAAAAAAAAAATAAGGTTAAAAAAAACGGAACGGTGACATGGATTGGCCACACTAAAAAGTAAACACCGTTCGATCCGTGCACTGGATTGGATATTCGGCCTCGATAAGATCGGATATTAAAAGATTTCAAAAATCCTAATTTGTAGAAAATCGGCTTTTTGGTTTCTAAATAATGATATTAAAAACCCCCTTTCACTATGTATATAAGATTTTAAAAAGATTACCATTAAATTTGACATAAATCTCTAGAAAAATTATTACACAAATGTAGAATTTATTTTTCTAGATATCTGTATCAAATTTAATGACCATCCTTTGAGTTCTTACACATATAGGTATAGAAAGGTACCATAAAATCATCTCTTTTTTATTAAATATGCACAAATATTAAAAAAAAGATATCGCATGTTTCAGTATTTATTGTTCATTACATCCATTTTATAGTCAAATTAAAAACTTAAAATACAACTCATTATAAGAAAATGAATCTCTTTGACTCAAATTTTTAGTGTGAGTTTTTTGTGACGAAGTCTTTTTTGAAACAATCTCAAATTTCATAATATTTCAATCATTTCTCTAATCTGGCCACATAGTTACAATTAAAAAAAAAAACCCTCCACTGCATGATTTGTGTTCTTTTTTTGTTCTCTTTCTTTTAAAAAAAAAAAAGTGGGATCGTAGTGGGAATTAGTCTCATATGCCCTCATTTGAGATATACCATAATACTAACACATTGCAATGACTACGCATTTGTCAAATATACATTAAGAGTTATATGGGGCCCTCACCAATTAATTAATAATTAAAATACAAACAACTTGGATCCATCCTAAGTTTTCCATCAATAAAACTCGCCCACTGTATGAATTGAGTTGACTTAATGCGAATTTGTGCCGCAAGAAATGAGATTTTAGTCATTTGAATTCAAGTATAAATACGATCGAGATAAGGTTGATGTACTCTCATTAAGGAACCTGTCAATTTTTCTTTTGGTTTATATGGAATGAGACCATTTACCTTTGGTATAGAAATTTTACAATTTTTTATCACCTTTCTATGTGAAATCTGATGGCTTGGGTGTGTCACAAAGTTTGAAAAGTTTTTTCAAAACTTTGAGCTTAGTCAATAAAATAAATGCAACTACCTAATTTCACATCTATTGATCAAAAAATTAATTGTGACTATCTTATACCAAATGTAAGTAGAAAAAGCTTTTATAAGTGCAAGGCTTTAAACAATCAAATAGGGTGCACCTCAAAAATTTCACTAGAAGAGGTTGTTTTGATGCCATATCTTCAAATTGATCAACTCGACCTCATGATGTATGGACATGAGAATAAAATGGATTTCAAGTTTTGAAAATAATGCATCTTGTAATGCATTTTTTTACCGCCAATTTTCAAGATTTTCAAGTTTTCATTGATCTGCTCGATTTACACTATTTTTAACGCTTTAAATTTTTATAATTAGAGATGAAAATATATTCTAAAGCTATCACAAAGATTTCTGGTATTTAAACCACATTTCTCAATATTATTGAAGATGCACTTTACTTTGATTGTTTATAGCCTCGGCTTTATACAAACCACAATATAATAGTCTCATTATATACTTTCCCTTTATATTCTACGTTGCAAATTGTATTGCATAATATCGATTCCCAAAATTGGTGCCACTTTGCTTCATTTTTACCTTGCCACTTGCTAAGTAGAAAAGTGTTAAAAGATACATATTAATCAGAATATATTCTTTGAGATTCTTTGAGATATGTACAAATTTGATCTTGGTATATTTCCTGTACACTTTCCATTTAGATAGGTATGTGCCATTTGTCATCTGTAGTATGTAACAACCCTTTGTATATTTATTTTCTCTTTGTTAATGAAAGATGCACGAGAGTTTTCTCTGCCTCTAAGCATTATCATGGCATCATAGCAAGGTTAACTCAAAAGGTGAATCTCCAGTAATAAGCGAGTCTTGATTTTGAGGATTGTAAAGAAAACTGCTACAGCTGATCGGCGGAACATCTGTCGCCATTCTGGCTGCTGATCGGCGTGTTCTCTGTTTGCATTTGGGATGCTGATCAGCGTGACCTCTGTTCGCATTCTGACTACTGATCAGCGTGACCTTTGTACGCATTCCGGCTGCTGATCTAATCAGATTGTCATCAAACAGGTCATATATCATCTGTTATAAGAAAAACTCTTATGATCTCCTTTTTATTCCTTGCGTATTAAATCTCCCTAAGTATCGATTACTGTAACAACCATTCTCCCATCCGTACGGCTAATAACTCAATAATATCTGTAAGTCATGTCGGTACTGTCCCTCAAATTCTCAATTTCTGATGTACTCCCGGTACCTCATCTTTCTATAAATCTGATTTATGTGGCTCAATTATGTGATCAAAGTTATGACATCTTATTTTCTTCATTTGGTTGTATTGTGAAGCATCACTTGACGAGGAAGCAAGTTGGGGCACGCCATAAAGTTGGTCGTTTGTTTGTCTTGGAATACCTACATATTCTTCGACAACCGGGTGCTTTACTTAGTACTGGGACTTCTTTGTGATAGAACAAGTGTACCTCTGTTTTTTCTATTTGGCATAGCAGATTAGGTCATATTTCTTTTTCTTGTCTTAAGTTTTTTATATCTTCTGAAAAGTTAGAGTCAGTCAATACAAACTGATAGTTATCATAACCACATTAGTTGTAAGTTGGCAAAACCCGCCGCATTGCCTTTCTCTAATAGTGAGACTCTTACCAAGTCACCTTTTGAACTTATAGATTCTGATGTGTGAGGCCCTACCCCTATTCCCTCAATGAGTTGTGCTCACCTAGATATCAGTCATGCCGTTCATATTGTCAATCAGTTTATGTTTGCACCTCATTATGCTGCAATACTTCGGATCTTACAATATCTTCGTGGCACTCCATTTCAAGGTCTTCTTTTCTCCTTCACATCTAAACCAAAATTGCAAGCTGATTTTGATGCCGATTGGGTAGGTGATGTTACATATCATCGTTGTACCACTGGATATCATATTTTTTTTGGTATCTTCTAAAAAAGCAAGAAACAATGAATAGTTGCTCAATCCAGTGCCGAAGCTAAATATCGTGCATTTGCTTCTACTACAACTAAGATTATCTTGCTAACTCCAAGACATGGAATCTAAGATTATCTTGCTAACTCCAAGACATGGGTGTTTCCAGCTCTAATCCCTCAAATAGCTCACAATGATGTATTTCATAGACGCACATTGAAATTGATTGTCATTTTATTCACAATCATGTTTTACAAGGGACAATTACACTTCTTTTTGTTCTCTTAACACACCAAGTAACCAACTCACACTAAAACACGTTTTCGCTACTTATTATCCATTATCCAAACTCCAGCTGCTCTCTTTCAAGGTACCTTGAGTTTGAAGGAGATATTAAAAGATATATATTAATTAAAATATATTCTTTGAGATTCTTTACACTACCCATTTAGATTGGTACGTGTCATCTGTCATATGTAATAACCCCTTGTATATTCATCTTCTCTCCGTTAATGAAAGATACGTGAGAGTTATCTCTGCCTCTCTAAAGTATTATCAGAAGAATAAAAAATAAAATAGAAAGGAACTCCATCAACATGTTAGTGCGTATGTTCCTGTTGAGATCTTCAGATGGACCGCTCAAGACCCAATATGAAATTCTGATATGATATGTTTGTGCAAACGGAGAATTCAATCTATCAACCCAATCAAGTAATTTTAGTTGGACTGTCAATGGTACTGGCAAAAGAAATAAGTGATCTCTCTTAGTCTCTTATAATTGTCAACTAATGTTGGATTCATCAGACCGAAAATGGTATTATACTAGGCACGAAAAATGAAATAAATTGATACGAAGAAATTTTTTAAAAGTGATTCTCTCACCGATTTAGAAATTGTAAAAGAATAGCCTATTTGCATAAAAAAGAACACAAATCACTGTTGTCCATCAGATTTCAAATGGAGGGATGGTCGTTAGAGTGTTATTGACTAGGCTCAAAATCCCAAAACAATTTCTCGAACTTTATGACATTACCCAACCTATCCAATTTCACATCAAATGGCTAGGAATAATTGTGACCCCCATATAACAGATAAATAGTTTCTCATAGCATACAATTCTTTTGCATATTTATTATTTAACCAGCTAAAAACACCCTTCTCGTGGTATGTAATCATAGCTACTTATGTCAATCTTTGTAGTCACATGCTTGTGGGTATTTTGCACTCACACTAATTACTAGTGTGCGTGCAAAATACCTAGAACAAAATAGCAAACTAGGAATTGTATAGCCGACACTAAATAGTTGAAAAAATACTAATAATTATGATGATTAATAACTGGTGAGTTCGAACATTCACAAATTCAAAATCTTGCCCAAAACCAAATGAGGAAAAAAAAAAGCCACAAACGGAAAAAGACCCGAGTCCCTAGTTACAGGCAATAGGGGATGGAATTTTTCATGGAGTCAAATTCAAACTGAATCTTTACAAGAAATCCAAATAAATATTCTCCGTATCATTCCTATTCTATCCCATGTCTCTCAAGAAATCCAAATTAATCGGCCTGCCCGTATTTCATAGTCCCTATAAACAGTAAATTCATAAATCAACAAGCAAATAGGCCCTGTGGATAAAAATTTGAGAGAGAGATGCAATGTTCGAAAGAGAAACAGAGATGGCAAGTAAAGGTATTTAACACTAATGCATTACTGATATCCCTTATCAGCCCACAATAGGAGAATGAACAGATATAGCATTGCTACCTCATGTGGCTATCTCAGAAGGCTTTCTCTAGAATCTGTCATCTGCTGTGTGTGTGTGTTGAGAGAGAGAGACCAGCAATGCTAAATCAACATCAAGACATGACAATTATCAGTAAAAGGAGAAAGAACAGCCTCAACGAATGCATTGCAACCTCAAAAAGTGATCTACCCAACGTCAAAGTGGTGTATGACAGAATAAATACACTAAAATCTGATGTTCGTCTGCATATCTGTAGGAGCCAGACACTGCCAAAGCGAATGGTATGCAGGAATATCGGCTGCTTGAACTCCAATAGTGGATAGGTTCCTCCCATATTCCTGGCAACAAGGGAAAGCTTAAGATAAGAAACCTAAAGCCATCAAAGAAAGAGATAATATGCTACAAAATGATCATATATTATGCCTTGATGCATGCTTTTTTGACATGCTCGCATGCATGACTCATGGACTACATACAGGTGCTCCCATCAATGCAACCAATGCAAACTGACCACAATCAAGATGATCAATGTATTCTAGGGTACAATGTACATGCATTAAACGAGTGTTAGCATTTTAATCACTGACTTTATGATGAACCAGGAAAAGGAAAAGATTTACTATCCATTGAATTTTCACCTTTAAATAGAAAGTCCCTTATATGGAATGCAGGAGTAGCCTTTTCCTAGGGGAAGGAGAGCATGGTTCGCTCACTAGGATGCTGGAAAATCCCTATGCATTTACAGACAAGACGTTCCTTTTTCTTATTGGAGGATGCAGTTTCCTCTTCTGTCATGAGGAAAGCGAATCCGTAAGGGATAGCGAGGGTTAAGACATCCATTTTCTTGGAGGCTAACATAGTTCACTATTGACGAAGGATCAGTAAAAGAGCATTGTACCACTACCAAGGCCTGTGTAACAACAGACAGTTTTAACGTAATCTAAACGAGTAAGAAGTGAAAATGAAGAAAAGTGAATTATTTCGATATAAAAGCCAGTTATTAAAAAAAAGGGGGGAAGGAAAGAAGCACCCAGTTCCTTTTATAACAATATTATTTTAATATAATGTATATGGATGGATTGTGAAAATCCAAAAGTGTCAATCAAAAAGCTTAAAAATTCAAAGTCCAGAGCAACAAAAGTACTTCAAATGAAACCTTTTCTGTAGTAACTGTACTATAAAGAAATCAAGCACCAAATTCTAATACCACTACTATGGAAACTGTATATAAGGAATATTAAGGTTCTCATTTTGGAAAACCAGTAAGCATAACTTCTCTGCATCATCTGACTTTCTATCCTTTCTCCAAATACAGGACTAAGTTTTTTCAGGAACTTGTATATCAACAAGAAAGCTGCAACTATCAAAAGGTGTTTTCTGAAATTCAACAAAAATGTAAGTCCCTGGATGTTATGACAATGAGATTGCCATGATGAAACCAAAAAGAAGTGTAATTTTTTTAACACCAGGATTATGCAAGCTGTATATACAGAATATTAGGTTCTCAATTTGGAAATTCTCCAAGCATAAGTTGTTCGTATCATCTGACTAAAAAATCATTTCAATGTTTTTTGTATATTGCATTATTACATTTATACAATGTCGAAGTAGCCTAGCAGTCCATCTTTTCTTACTTCAACTATAAGACGAAGCTTTTCATCAACTTGTATATCGACAAAAAAGGCTGCAATTATCAAAGGAAGTTTCTGATATTTGACAAGAATGAAAGTAACAAAAGACATTGAAATTGCCATGATGAAACCAAAAAGAAGTATATAGTTTTTATAGCACTATTGATATGATAAACTTCAGAAACCAGAAATTTCTCTTATAGCTAAGTTTTACCTGGATATCAAGAAATAACTGCATGCAAATCTTATCAGTATCAGAGATATTGTGGTCAGATGCATCTGAGCTCGCACCACCTCGTCTCTGAGCTCCTTGCCTGAGCCGTTGCAGCGAGGACTCTGTCCTCCGTTGCTATTCAATCAGGCCATTATTTCATCAACAGAAGAGTTTATGCAAAGTAAAGATGAATTGGAAATGATGTCTGCTACTAAAGTGGTAACCTAAAATGATAGTATAATTCATATAAAATGAAAAGCTGGAAAACCAACCACATTGACAACATCCCATGCTATTTCATAATAATGGCCTGTAATCCTTTCAGCTGCACCATGTATCAGTTTGCTTTTGGTTTCGCTTGCCAAATATGCAGCGCGCTCTCCCTCTAGAAAAGCCTATATGTTATTCCCAGACTAAGTCAATTAACTGCAAAGAAAATTAGGACTTCAAGGGTATGTGCTATAAAATGCAGATAACTTCTTCATACTTACTTTGATTTTAAAAATGCTATGATATTTCAAAACAAAAGATAAAAAGAAGATTCCCAAAAAAACTACTATATTTTGGGAAAGAACCAATAAGGACCTAGCAAAGAAAGTAGAGAAAAATGATACCAAAAGAAATTGTAACAGGGTTATCTCAATCACACAGCTATAAATGGGTCGGTTCATTCCAGGTTATCTTTCCTACTGATAATAAACTGATTCAGTTTCGCTTCAGGTCCAAATTATGGCAGGCTGCCCAGATTACTTTTAAGTTAGACATGAACAAGGCAGATATGAACAGGGCTAAATTGATAGATCAAGACATCCTTTTAACAGTTCAAACTGTTCAAAAAAGACATCAAGACATCCTAAGAAAAGGCATGTACCAAAAGATAAAGAATACCTTAAGGGGCCGCAGAACGCCAGAAACATAAGGTGAATGTCTAACAGGTGGTGGTTTATTAGTCATCCTGTATGTAGTGGGTATCCCCTTAATCTGCCTCAAGTCCTGAAAAACTCATTAGAAAGCATAAACATATATTAGATGTGGTAAATATGCAATACACCTTCACCATTGCACCACAAAAAAAAAAAAAAAAAGAGTACCAGTAAATCCACAAAGTAACACAAATTTCACCTTTTTTTTTGTTTTGGAAGAAGGGGGGGGGGGGGGAACCAATGATAAACACCTCAGAAATGTGAACTTGTAAATGGTTTTACAAATAATGTCAGCAAAATGACAGGGAGTTATTTAGAGATTTAACTGAGGGAATCATGTATCACATAAAATAAGAATGAACAATTTGCAGGTAACTTGAGAAAGAGGGTAACCAATTTCCTCTTCCTTTTTCCTTCTCCCCTTTCCCTCTCTCAATCTTTGCTTTCCTTTAACTCACAAGAAATCCCACATGCCTCCCAAGAAGCTGGTGGTAATTGTCTGTGATATATTTCTACCATTAAAATCATCTCACATATCCTATTGTTGCATAATATATATGCCCTTGCCACTTCGTAAAATATCTATCATGTTCTAATCTACTGGTCAAAATTAACGACACAAACAAACACACATTAAAGGTTAACAGTATTCCTTGTGAAAAGGTATTCATAAGCTTTTCGTAGCCTTATTGTATCGGTCTCTGGTAAGCTATTCCTTGAAATTACTGGCAAATATTGAACAAAAATTCGCCTCCACCCCCCTACCCCCCCCAGGACAATCCGCAACGAATCTCTCTCTCTATATATATATATATATATCTCTCACCTCCACCCCAAGGACAATCCACAACGAATCCCTCTCTCTCTCTC